AAATTTTAGATTTTTGACATGAAAACTATATCTTCCGAGGAGTTTGAACTTTGAAGGTGCACCTACTTTTATTATTTAGTTTAGGTGTCTTTTATAAACAGCAAGCTACAAAAGTTGAGACTAAAAACGCATTACAATGTTATTAAAAAGAAAAAAGAAGAAGCAAAGCATGCTAGTGATTTGAAAAGTGTCATCTTGGCACTTATTAGGTAGTCTAGGATCGAATATTTGTTTGACAGAAGGTGGTCTAGCACTCCAAAATCATAGCGAAGAGTGGTTTTATTTAAGGGTAAAGGTATTTATAAGGTGTCTACCTCACACTATACAAGTAAGGCGCATCTCTAAATTGTCGGACATAATTTCCGTACAGAAATTTTATAATAGCTTGAAAATTCATGTTGAATTCTAATTATAATTTTTAAATTATGAAAACGGTGCAAAATTAGCAAATCAGTAAACACTTGAAAATTTAGAAAATATACAGTCCAAATAACAAATTACACGATGCAATATTTTTAAGGCTTAAAATCTTTTTTCTTTTATATCCATATATCTTGAAGTATAGATGATCAATTGGAAGGCTTTCCAACATAAAATACTTTTTCTCTATTTGATTTTTAAGTTACACCTTATTTGAAGAGTATATAATTTTTTTCTTTATTTAATCTAAAAAAATTAGATAATCTTAGTCCCCCTCAAGACCAATTCCATTTAAATAAATAAAAATAGAGTTAAAAAATGCTTGAAATCAGTACCCCTCAAAGCTTTGAAGAGTGTATAATTGAAGGACATGGATCTAAAGTTTCAAGAACTAAAAAGCATTTTTTGTTTTTAGAATTGCTCATAAGGTAAATAAAAGATGATATTAAAAATTTTCCAAAAAATAAGAAGAAAGGCTCCCAATATCTTGTGGGGCCTAGACCACCTAATTATTACATGGTCTGGCGAGACCATTATAATATTTTATCTTTGGAATATGATAATCCCTCGTAGATTTTAGCATTCGACGCATTCTCCCCGTCTCTTCGCATGCTCCATTTGTCAGCTTATGGTGGAGTTTGGACATGTCTATATTTGGATTATAATAATTCCTCAAAATTCTTGGTAGCATTCACAAAATAAAAGAAAAAGTTTCAACTTCTTCTTTTTAGAAGAGTAAACTTTAATTGATAATGGAAGAAAAATAATACTAAATAAATAACTGAAGAATCTAAATTCACCATCTTCTTAGTCAAATCATCAGCTACGACATTAGCCTCCCTATAAACATATTGGAATCTTCTTAGTCAAATTATCAGCTACAACATTAGCTTCTCTATAAACGTATTGGAAAGATACCACCAATACAGATATGGGTCATCACATCTAAGTTTGTCCTAAATTTGAAGTTCAAAAAAATATTTTTCGATGGTGTTTTTACTTGAGGCAGCATATACCAATGCCAATATATAATCTCTTTTTATTATGTCTATTACATCAACATCATTATAATTGCTTTTCTCTAATTAATTAGGATTGGCTACACAATTATGGTCCACTCTATTTTGTCTATTACATATAAAACAAAAATAAAATTTTATTTTTATCTTGCTTTCGTATATTTTTTGTTTTTGTCACAAAATGGAAGAAGTTACAACCACAAAATTCGGAGTACTAAAAAATACCCTTTAGGAGTTTTCTCTTTAATTTGATGTTCCAAAAATACTTTTAGATAGGGCTTTTACTTGCGCGCAGACATACCTGTGCCAGCATATAAAATTTCCACTTATTCTTTCTAGTACATACAAAGCACATATAAATTTTACTTTCATCTTATTGTTTATAACTTTTTAATTGGCCACTGAATGGAGGAAGCTACATCCCCAAATTTTGGGTTAAGCTCAATGATAGGATTCGAACTTGGGATGTAAGGTGCTCGCTTGGGCCTAATTTGACTAAACAAATTTAAAAAGGATGGATCCAGACCCAACCCGGATTATGTCTAAAAATTTAAAAAAAAATCAAATTTATATATAGTTATGGGAAAATATCTCCATATCCCCTATTTTTAGATTTTACTTTTTAATAAACCCAACCTTTCAAAAAATATCTTGCAACCCACTAAGCACTTTAAACTTGTTTTTTAACCTAAACAAATATGAAAAAGACATGCTCTTTTTAAGCCTAATCCTTTCTCTCTTCATTTATATACCCCAAACTTATCTCTTTCTCTCTCTTGTTAAGTATTACACTCTCTCTCTACCTGTGTTTATCTAAATACTTCTCTCTTTCCTTCCGTATTTATTCAAACACCTATCTCTCTCCTCTCGACAACATTTCACCACCAAGCATCTCTTTGCTCCGGTGCTTATCCAAACACCTCTCTCTCTGTGTTTATCCAAACACATCTCTCTCCTCCTGGTAACCTCTCGCCACCAAACACCTCTCTCTCTTCCTGTGTTTATTCAAACACCTCTCTTTCTCTCCGTATACTTACTATATATTTGGGTTACTGTATATTTGTGAAGAGAGAGAGGGGGGAGAGATATGGAAAACGTGAAGGAGAGAGAGTGGGATGAGAGAGGGATAGGTTAGAGATGGAAAAGATGGAGAGAGAAAGGTACAGGGAGAGAGAGAAAATTTTGGGAGGATGGATTTTAGAAAATGATGTCTTTTTAGATTTGTTTGGCCTAAAAATCAGGTTTAAAGTAGATCTTAAGGGTTAGAAGAAATAAAATGTAAAATTTTTACGTCTTGAGATATCTTTTAAAACCTTAAGTCTATTGTGAAATCAAATCTAAAAATAGAGAATCTCAAGATATTTTCCCCATATTTATCATATATTTTGTATTGGATTGTGTCAACCTTGGACCATACCTGACCCGAGTGGATAGGGTCTCTACATTGGACCTGATCGGCATCCAAAACATTGATCCGGACCTAGAATACCTACTTTACCAACTACCTTACCAAATGTTATTAAGGACATTGAAAAATATCATTTTTATTTTCAAACAGAAAAAATGTCATAGTCATAATTACTCTATTAAGACATCTCAAAATTTTGGTCCGAAATCCTTCTCCTTTTTTTTTTTTGAAAGGTATATATATATATATATATTTTTCTTCTAACCATTTTTCAAGTATAGCGCGTCGGATTCCGCTAATATTGAACTCCATCTTCCCTAGAGAATCTGCGTTGAGTTTTGATTTATGATAGAGATGAGACCCTTCGATGGAACTGCTAGTCTCTAATGTCGAACAAAGTCCTTAATTCGATTTTTTAGGGCAACTTTTTCCATTTAATTGTTCTTGAATATGAGAAATTTAAAATAATATCCCCTATGCTTAAAGATAACAAATTTACCGTATATCCCACAAAAATATTTCGATTAAAAGAAGGGGAAAGTTTACATAGAGCCCAGGCTCTAAACAATCAAATCGTAGACTACCTCAAAAATTTCACTAGAAGATGTTGTTTTGATGCCCAACTATCCTCAAATTGATCATGTTGACATCATGATACATGGACAATAAAAATAATGGGTTTCACGTTTTGAAAATAGTGCATCTTGTAATGCATTTTTAGACCTTTAATTTTCAAGATTTTTAAGTTTTCATAGATCTGCTTTATCTACACTAATTTTGAAACTTTAAATTTTATAATTAGAGATGAAAATATACTTTAAGACAATCATAAAGATTTCCAGTATTGAAACAACATTTCTTGACACTATTTGAAGGGAGGCTCTACTTTGAGTGTTTAGAACCTCGGCTTTATACAAACCATACCCTTATAATAATCCCCCTTGATTATTTGTATTTTATTAATATTATTATTATTATTATTATTAGAGTAATGATCTTATGAGACCCTCTCACACCCATGTGTGTAGGACCTAAAGAATCACCATTAAATTTGACACATATCTTTAAAAAAAGTCAAATCCTACACCAGGTGATAATTTTTCTAGAGATCTGTGCTAAGTTTAATGACGATCTTTTGGGGTCCTACACACATAAGTGTGTGAGGGTCTCATAAGATCATTACTCTTATTATTGTTATTATTATTCCAATTTTTCTCTAGATATTAAGTCACCACACAAGTTGATGACTTCATATTTTCAATATCCATAGTTATCTTTTCTCTTTAGTCATTTTTTCTCGACAAATCAATGTCACTTCAGATATTGAAAATATGATGTCACTCTTGCTTAAAATTTGTAATATCTCAAGTTATTTGAAAATAGAGATTTCTATGCAACTTTTGATATTATAAATCGAAACTTAAAAGTGACTTTGGATTGAAATGTCTAAAGGGACTTCGGTTTTCCAAGAAAAATGATTAAAGAAAAAAAATATGCCTACGAATATTAAAGAACCAAAGTAATTGCTAGGGAGGGGATGATCGACAAAAGTACCTCATGTACAAAAGTTAGTTGTATTTTTGTAATTAAAGTAATTTAATGGGATATAGGATTAATTTCCCTTTAAAGATAACCTTGGTGTTTACTTTACTGAAAAAAAAACTTTTCCCCTAAATTGTCCCACAATTCAGACCTAGATCTGAATTTATGTTACTGAGAAAAACCAATAAAATTAACTTTGGACCAGTGAGTTTGCAACTTGTTATTAATAACTATTTATACTACTTAAAAATAATAATAATAAGATGAATCACCTCTTGGGATCTTGATGCAAAGCTTGCCCGAAAAGGATTGTTGTTTAGGTTTTGCCAAGAAAGATCTGAATGAAATCTGATATGAACACCTATGCCTCTTGGCTTACTGGTCATGGTGGTAGTCGATCGGAGCACTAAAGCTCCATTTGGCGCAAAAATTCTCAAAAATATTGGGATTAGATCTTCTTTGTTTTGGTTTTCTATTTCATAATGTTGAGTGTTTTGTCTATGGTGTTCTTAATAAGCAAGGTAAAATGCTTTGAATATGGAGTTGTTTCCTTCTGCATTTTAAATGGGTGGAAATTGGCCTAAAACATAGCAGAACGCTATGTTTCCCAGATGTTAATTACTGATAACAAGTCCTCTTCTGCAACTAACACACATCCTGCACAGGACAGTGATGGCGGAGTACGGGCGTCCCATGGCTCGAATCACAGGAGAAATCTTTCGAGTCATTCCCCTCCACTGCCCGAAGGAGCTGAAATGTCTCAGTACCTGGCAGAATCTGAAGCATCCTTAACGGTTCTCAAGCATCCAAAATGAGCACCGACGAGCCAGCACAAACCGCTCGGTATTCATTGTAATAAGCCTAGACAATGCGCGTGGCCTACAGATACATAAGGAAGGAAAATGGGTCGATGTAGAGACACCATCAGGGGCTTTGTTGGTGAACCTAGGTGCCATGATTCAAGCCATGAGCAACGACGAGTACAAGAGTGCCTTGTACCTGGGGTTGCTGAATGAGGAGACGGATAGGTTGTCGCTGTGGTATTTCTTCGATGAAGCCACTATTTCGTCCCTCAACTATAAGCTAGAGCAGCAGAAGAGAGTTGGATCATCTTGAGGGCGTATTAGAAGCATTCAGGTCGACACTTCTTGTTGATGGAGCCGAATTGGCTAAGGGGCTTGTCTCAGTTTAGGACTCACAGAGAGAAACACCTTCGTTTCAATTGAGGTTATTAGATGTTTGATCTCATTCATCTAACTTTGTTTTCTTTCAAATTTGACATATCATATTTGGAGTTATAATAAAATCACAATTTTCTTTTCCCATTTGTGGTTTTCCTCCCAAGTTGGAGTTCGGTGTCTGAGATAAAGGCACAAACCGATCTTAACAAAAGTTTTGGACTAGAACTCTACTTTCTCTATTACTTGCGTATCATATTGCAACTTTTTATTTTTATTTTATATAAAATTTTAAAATCTAGAACCTGGGTTCTAGTCTCTCTTTCCCTGTGATTCTCCTAGATATGGTGCTATCTGTCAATTTTAAGTTAGTAAATTTTTTGAGGTGGGCAATTTGATTGTTTAGAGGACATGATTATCTCGACATCAAGATGCATGGACATGATATGAGAAAATAATGGATTTCAAGTTTTCATAGTTCGGCTCGATCTATATTATTTTCTAAGTTTTAAATTTTATATTTAAAAATGAATATATCTTTTAAAGCTATCACAAAGATTTTCAGTATTGAAACCACATTACTTCAAACTATTTGAAGGTGTGTTGCACTTGGATTGTTTAGAGCCTTGGCTCTATACAAACAACGCACTATTAGATAACCTGACAGATTCCATTATCCCTCAGGGTATATAGTATCCATTAATTCCCTTGGGCAAAATACATGCAGAGTACTCTTTAGTTTTCAAATTTTGGAGAGATATAATCTCTACACACTGCTCTCCGTAAAACAAAATTCCAAAATAGAAAAAACGTAATGCTTCAAGATTAAATAGAGACCATCCAAGTTTTGAAGGGATACATCTAAGTGTCACATGACTCAAATTCGATTTCTTTATTATTGAAAATAATCATCCAGTAATTTTCATGTGGTTATAAAACATTTATATCAAAAAATAATAATCCTAGATAGGCGTTTTGAGGGAGGGAGTAGATACAAAATATACTCCTGCCGGAGCATATTATACGTGCTCATCTGATAATACATTTTCAAATGACGCGTAAATTAAGGATGTAACTTTCTCATAGATGACCAGTACATCGAATCTGGTGCATTGTTGGCCGATCTACCCGCCAACCGCCCTCTTAGATTTTGAGCGGTTAGGGTGATCAAGCAGTATTTTAAAAAAAAAATAAAAATATATATAAATTCTCAAAAATAAATAATTTGATTTGTAATATACTTTTAAATATTATTTACATTATGGTAAAGATTAAAAAATGTTTTGGTCATTAATATTCACTTTTATATTTTCCCATCTTTTTTAAAAAATTAAAAAAATAACTCTTGAAAAATATAAATAGTTTAAAATCCATTTTTTTCATTAATTTTCAATTTCATTTGAATGTATTTTGTTTTAATCATTCTTTATATGGTTTTCATATTTTAGTAGATTTTTTTTTCTTTTTTGTCAACTCTTTTTTGACCGTCCAGGACTTGCCCGGATAGATCAATTGGATCGGCTGGTTAAACCGCTTCCAGGCCCATATCCAGTTAACCATTCCGATTCGATTTTGCGAACACTGATCCGGTGCCATCCCATGTAAGATAACTAAATGATTTTTATGATAGAGAAAGCTTTTGTGACCACATTTGTTTCCAATGATATCACAAGCTCTCTCTCTACTACTGGTTTTAGTTCCCATTCCTACTAAACTTAACTCCTTTCGAAACTGCTAACGGTTACAAAAATTGCTAACCCAATATTAACATTTTAAGTTTCCATTCCTACTAAACTAACTCCTTTCAAAAACGGCTAACGGTTACAAAAATTGCTAACCCAATACTAACATTTTAAGTTTTTATATATATATATATATGCCGATGTCTATGTTGAGCTTTTAAGACATAATACCTTATGTGGCCACTTAAAGAAGGGTGTGGTTTGTTTAGAGCCGAGGCTCTAAACAATCAAAATGGGATATTAAGTGGCAACAAATGTTTTTATTATTATGTGCTTTTAAGAAAAATCGATTAGAAATTTTTTAATTTTTAAAGTGCCCAACATGAGTATCGTGTCTTCTATATTTCAACATTTACTAAAAATCATAAATACTCCATATTACATGTCTTGAGTTTCCTTTTTTTTCTTTTTTCCCTTGGGCCAAGCAATAAACAGAGCAAATGGAATGGGGCCTCAATTACTTAGGTTCTCGTCTATGAGAAAAGCTCATCATTTATTTGAGTTCAAATCCTTTACTAAACAAGGCAAAGCTTGGGCCCTACCTGTTTTTGTATGTGCACGTTTTTCTTCTTTTGTTTTTCCTTTTTCTTCTTTTTTCCCCTTTTTTGAGAAATTGTGACTCATTATGGAGAAATCATGGTTCAAAAAATCGCCTCGGCCAATGTACTCAAGCCCTAGCCGATGTGATTTACTCCCTGTGTGTTCGAGTAACTCGCCGAGTCCATCTCATTTTTTTCTTTTCTTTTTAGGAAAATGAAGATAGAATTAAATTATATATAGTAAAAGAGCCGCACTTTATCATTAAGGCGCATATAGGTATGTTGGTTATCGTCTCCCTCAGAGGCTTTAATATAAGGAAAGGTTTCTATACTTTCCTTACAGTATAAAGTTCTATCCTCCTACCATCCAACCATTCAATTTTGATCAAGAGAGCCACTCATCGTTTGATCTTAGATCCGACATCTCAAAGTATTTTTTTTTAGTTTTTTTTTATACAAATTGTATGAAGATGAAATTTGGTACATGCCATCTTATTGAAGGTGCACCTATAAAAAATATTAAAAATAATTGTTCGATAAAATATAATAATCAAAATAACCCTTGAACTTTTAAGAGGTATTTAGTTTTATTTTATTAAAAATACTTTTTTTTATTTTTTTCACTAGTACGAGTTTAATAGAAAAATAGACGTCCAAAATTTGGTATCAAAATAGTATATAAAAAAAAAAAAATAAAATAAAATAATGTAGAGACGTGACATTATGATTGGGGCCATCTTAACCCTCCATTCAGAATGGTGGGTTAGATAAAAAAGAAGATAGAACTTCTATGCTGTAGAAAAAGCATAAAAAACTTGCCCAATAAACATAAAAATAGTGTACAACCAACTCGGACAAAACTCGCCTCACGAGTCCAAGTTAACCTAGGCAAGTTTCAAATCGCTGGGACAAATCTTTACCCCCTACAAGTGGGTTAAGACTTGCCAGTCCTTTATGAAGCATGGTAACAACCCTTGTTCTCAAAAATCTCTATAAAATAAGCCTTCAAGATATTAACAGAGAGTTGGTTCTTGTAGAGAAAGCTACAGGTAAATATTACAAAAGGAAAGAAATATGAGAACCCCAAATAAATAATGAAAGACAGAACTAAATAAAATTGGTTCTTGTAGAGAAAGCTACAGGTAAATATTACATAAGGAAAGAAATAAGAGAACACCAAATAAATAATGAAAGACAGAACTAAATAAAATGGGAAAGAGAAAAAATAGTATATATAACTAACTATAATTTTTTGAAGTTAGTTTCTAAACATTTTTTGTTAACTACTATTTCATAAATTTTAATAGTTTATAACTTATCTTATTCTTGTCAGATTACATTAAACAATATATTTTTTTTCGAAAGATTACAGTGAAAATTGAAAAAGCAGAAAATTTCGCAAAATCAGGGATAATTTTCTTGGAAGCTTGCGGTATTCTTGTGAGATTTTTAAAAATGAAAATGACTTCCATTATTGTTCCCAAGTAGACACCATTTGGGGTAGAAAGGGTTGACAAAACCAAATTATTCAGAGTTTACAAACAAGAAAATTAACCACAAAATATCAGGTTATCAGGTTAACAAGTAAGCAACAGACCCACTATTGCCTGGTAATTGCCCCCCTTCAAGAAATCTTCACATATAGATATGTATGAATGGGCGCGCTTACCTCAAAGTGATCACAAACATGCATGTTTACATGAAGATTGGCACTGGATGAAGCTCTTTAAGTATTCTGATGACATTATGGCTATGGTGAAGTCGAATGTTTAAAAAGTCGGACTTGGGTTATAACTTGCTAGGGGCCTAAGGACAAGACTCTCTAGTCAGACTTGGCGAGCCCAAGTCGGAGACTGGTCAATTTTTTATATGAAAATGTAAAACCTAAGAAAAAATTGGGGGAATCAGGCAATTTCGGTCTGGAATCACCTCGCTTTCTGATCAGGCCTGGGCAGACTCAGGTGAGTCCCGAGTCGGCCCAGCAATCTTTTAAACACTGGTGGAGTCCATGCCATCCAAGAGCAGAAAAGAAGACATCTTATTACTCATATAACCATAAGTGAACAAGAAAGGTTATTTGTATGACCAAAACATGAAACTGTCAGAAAACATAATGTACATACGAGGCATTCCTCGAGTTAAGTCTCATGGTCAAATGTAGCAGGCCTCTTGCATGGCCTTAAACAATTCGGTCTCATATGAGCACCAAACCCTTCTTCACCCTGAAGTTCAAAATGAACAAAAGCATCAGTAGGCATTATTCGGTTGGGGTTAAGGCCTTGTTAACTCAGCTCTGATACAACTTAATGAAACTTATAGGGGAGTCGACAAGCCAAGCTAGCTAGCTTGCAAGGCCAGCTCAGCTCGATGCCTTCAGCCAAACCTAAGCAATAATCCAGGCTCAACAAGTGAGGTCGAGCCTGCTAGCTCATTTACTAAACAAGAGAAGCTAGGTTTGTGCTAGTTTAACTTCTTTAGATATTTATTAAGTTATACCTCAAATATAAAACTCGACATATTATATTATAAAATTCAAGTATTACATTATAAATCTCCTTGTTATTATTCTCATTAATAGGCTTGTGTAAGTAAGAAGTCATGCCAAGACAAGTTCAAGCTGGCATTCCCTTAATCAAGCCAAGCTCAAGCTTGGCTGTTCAAGCTTGAGCAGAGCTCAACACAGGTTCGAACTGGACCTCCACCCATGCAAGCCAAGCTTGAACATGCCCAAGCTTAGCTTCACTCAGCTAGTTGATACCTCTATAAACTGAATCCAATAAATAAGTATTATGATCCAAATGTAGTTTCTTCTTCCATTGTTGACTCAAGTTATCCTCTGCCAGTTCCAGCACTTTCTTTTGAATTAAGAGTTAACTTTGAAGCTTATGAAAAATCTCTGTAATCAGGAATCCGAAGCTATCATACTCCCCCAAGTTTTAATAGATTCCTTTGGGTTCAGTGTTAAAATGTTCTAAAGAACAACAAAATTTCATATCTTGACTCGTGAATTTGAAGCCATGGTCCTCTATAAGTTTCAGTAAATTCTTTTGGGTTCAGAGACAAAAATATTCTAGGTTCCAGAAAAATCACCTGAAGAATTGAAACCATTAATCCTCTATTGGTTTTATTACCGATAATCCTCTATGAGGTTTGATAGATGTTTTTGGGATGAGTTAAATGTTCTAACCTTGAGTACCTGAACAGAGGCTATTCTCATAAGCTTCAATAAATTCTTATGGGCTCACAACATACATCACCAAGTCACAAAAATCCCATTGAATTTCGAAGCCTTCATACTCTGCAAACTTTAGTTATTATGTATAGCTTCAATCCAAAATTTTTCAACCAAAATGAGATATTTGGTTCATCTAAGGAGAGAGGTTGTCTATAAGAAATGTATAATGACATGAAGACAATCTCAATTGTCAATTCCAAGTTTCAGATCCCAGCTTAGCCATCCACATCTATATGTCTCTTGTGTGAATTCACACGTATGTGTTTGTATCTTTGTGTAAGAGAGAGAGACTTGTGAGTTAAATAGTCCAGTACCTTACTAGTCGAGACCTCGTCAATGTCGATACCTTTCAGCCATGACCCACTCTGAGGCAAACTAGAAGAAGGGACATTGAAACAACTTTCATTGAGGCTCCTCTTCCTAATAGAAGAAGAGTCAGCTGTTGAACTCATTTCATCATTTCTGCTCAGCACCTCACCTCCATTAATCTGATTCCTCAGATTAACTCTATTTACATCCTCGCCCACCAAATTATTGACCCCATTTCGTTTATGCATACTTTGAACAGTGGGAACTCTCTGATCCCAACTAGAACTTTCTGGAGCTTCTTTCTTCTTAATTACAACCCTTGGAACATTGGGAATTTCATTAATGCTGTTTAAATTGTCCCCAACATTTTCATCTGAACCATTAGCTTTCGCGGTTCTTGAGGCTGCCTCCAATTCCCACATCTTAGAGAGAGATTGAGCCAAGCATTCTTTGGCAGAATCTATTTCGACAATCGGGTTCGGATAATTCAAACCAAGTTCTACACCAGCTGCTTTAAGAACTGACACAGGAGCATCCCATGGGTGATGAATCCATTCGGTGGGCATTCGAGCAAGCTCGGGAAGCCATTGTCTCACGTATTCACCTTCTGGATCAAATTTGTAGCCTTGATCCTATTGCCAAGTCAAAAAATTGAACAAATTTAATGAGAAAGAAATAGATATTAAACTTTTTATGCAAGCACTTCTACAAAAGAGAAAAGGGGAAAAGGACTAACTTCAAGAACCGACTGCAACTGAGAAATTAATGGAGCATACATGTCTGGTTACTCAAGGGACTCTCTCTCTATATATATATATATGTGTGTGTGTGTGTGTGTGTGTGTGTCTGTGTGTGCGTGCACGCACACACACACACCCCATACTAATGGTGAACTTAGAATTTTGTATTCTGAAAGTTTTGACAATGAATTCCCTTACAAAATAACTGTTTTCATCCTAAATGTTATTTGCAATCATGTCTCAACACAACAGCAAGAATGGAAACGAGACTGATTTGAAGAACTGATTGAAATTAGAAAACTAGAAGAAATAGACTGCACCTCTGGATGATCGAGGCGATCTAGCTCATGACCATCAGGTAAACTACCTGATATATATTGCCAACCAAGGATATCACACTCCAAATCAGCATCTAATAAAGTGTCCCAAAAATACTTCATACCCCATGTCCATGGAAGTTGAAGGAACTTCACACAAAAGCTCGAAACCACCACTCTGATTCTATTGTGTAACCAGCCAGTCGCCCAAAGCTCTCTCATACCTGCATCTACTAAGGGGTAACCAGTTCTCCCTTGCCTCCAGGCCTTGAAATTAGAATGATCAGTTCGCCACGGAAAAAACTTCAGGTTACCCAACAAGGATTTTTCATGGGTGAACGGGAAATTGAAGCATAAATAGCGAGAATATTCCCGGAAGCCAATGGATCTTAGAAAGAGGTTGACGCTCTCTTCTGCATCTGAGTTTCCCTCCCTAGCCCAGGATAGTTGCTTCATTCTCACACTATGAAGGACTTTTCTTATGCTTAGTTCACCAAAGTGAAGGTAAGGGGATAAGAGAGCGGTTCCAAGGCCTTCGGCCTTGAGCCTGTTCATTGAGTAATCTTCGAGGCGTTGCGAAATGAACTCGGAGAGTGCTTTGTCAGCATGGCACCAACCAGGAGACCAAGCTCGGCTAAGGAGTGCATTGCTTGATTTCTCGTATTCATTTTCAAGACCCAGCTCCTCGATTGTGCAGCCTACCATTTTTTCTGTTAAGAAACAGTTAAATAAAATGAGTACTTGATTATTCTCCCTTATATCTTTGGGTTGTTTGCAATCTATGCATTGCATCAGTACTAAATCGTATGCTTGAGCAGAACTTTCCTCGTGGAAATTCCTAGAAGAAGATGATACCGGTTTGAAGTGACCAACAAGTTCATGGCTGGCTTACTGAGTATCTTAGATATTTCCCCAGGCCAGCATGTGAATCTTCCATAATTACATATGATTATTAATTAACTAAGTTCAAAGCCTTTGCTATGATGTAGAAATTTTCAACTAGGATTCATGTTCCCATTCTTCCCTCTCATAGCAAACATATATAGATGTGTGTACTTGTGTCATCCCATGAATCAAAGAGTTTTTTTTGTTCCAATAGAAAATACGAGCATTTTGTACAATGACGAGCCATAAAATGAGTATGTATACACTTACTAAAGCAAATAAACAAATTTTCTCTCACTCTTTGTCATTATCATCCATAGAACCAACCTGAGGCTGGGACTAGTCTCCTTGGAGGAAGAAGGCAGACTGGTTCAACAGACATGCTGATGCACTTGTTCCAATATTCATCAAAGGTCGTAAAAGCCAGTCCCTCATCATCGTAAACCTCCCAAGGCTCATATAGCAAATCTCCATTAAGACTCTGCACAATAATCCCTTGCTCCACTAGCTTCTGTTTAACGCAATGATCTCGGACAAGAGACACTGGATCTAAATTCACCAAAAATGCCCAGTAAATATGACAATTAGTTGCATGCATAGTGTACAATGCAACACGAGTGCATAGTTCCATGCACACATATATGCCTTACTGTATATAACAGCACACATATTTTCCTGCATGCATACATATATACATACATAATTGCAGACATATATACATCTAGAATGAAACATACATATGTAACTCAATACGAATTTGGATGTAGCCATAACATAATTTTACTGTGATTTCACTTTCTGTAAATTATCAAAACATGACTATGACACCCATATTCATGAACCTAAACATCAGACGTGAGAATCACAGAAATGATCCAAACAATATTTCCAGCATACAACGTAAAGTACATGATATGTAAGCATACTATTAAGTAATGCTTTTTAATTTGACTCGCGCATCGGACTCAGCCCTGGCCCTAGGTGAGTAATTCGGGACTCGGCCAAGTAGTGTACAGGGTGAAAAAATTAAAAAATCGTTTAAAAATAAATAAGAAATTGTAAAACTGAACCAAAACCAAGGGCAACATAAAAATTCCAAAAAAGCTAAAAAATTATATAATCATGGATTTAGAAAAAATTGATTTATGGTTGGAGATACTTTAGAAAAATCTGAAAATGAGAAAATTGTAGAATGGGGCGTATTATAAGAAAAACTCACAAATCGTTGTGACAAAGTCCAAATTACATACATAATATTTATAAAGCGATTCCCCAAATTTATATATTTTATACGATTTTTTAAAAGTGGCCCAAGTTGCACCCTATTACTCAGAGTGATTCCGAGTAACTCGCTATGTCCAAGACAACTTAGCCCAGGTTTCAATCATTGCTATTAAAATAATTAATCATTAAAAGCATGTTAACAAGTAAGAGATAAAAGAGATAAAATGAATACCATAGAGATGGTTATAGACAACTTGGGTGGCACCAATTGCACTGATGCATCTTAAGAGGGCAGAAAGAGTGTCTTCAGTTTTAATCAGCAAAAGGGGAGCCCCAAGAGACCTTAGAGATTGATCCAAATGAACAAGAGACTGCTTAAGCCACCATCGAGAAACCCGACCAGGGTAGAATTGGCCTTCTTCTTTAGGGCACCATATGTAAACTGGTAGGACACAGCCTACCCTAGCAGCTTGAGCTAAGGCAGGGTTGTCCTCAATTCTCAGGTCTCTCCTAAACCAAACAATGGTCTTGCAATGAGTTCCCATATTCATCAAAGCTTTGGAACCATGATTCCTAAAAGGGTGTCTTCAAAAGTTCTTCTATACCCCAAAATTGTGTCCTCTCTCTCTCTCTGGGCTAAAATTTCTCCTCTTCCTTATAAGGAGATCTAAAGAGCAATTTCCCCTGTAAACAGGTGGCCTACAGAACTCTTACAAAAATGGTGCCCTATTTTTTTTTCAAAGTATTCAAAAGGGGTGCCCTATGAACTTCTGGGTTGACCCAAAAGGTGTTCTATAAATCTTCTACTATTACCAAATAAGGTAGCCCTAAAAAAATATCTCCTTTACATCAATATCATGCACACATAATCCAATATGACATTTCTGGGGTGACCTAACATAAAATCTCCTCTGCTCCAACACGAAACCATAAAAACATCAACTTGGTCTCATCTGGTAACTCTTAATCATTACTTGGATTTCCCTTGGAATTCTCAAGGGATACAGAGTGATCCACAGTTTGTGATCTTTTAACCTGTAATTGGAGAAAAAAGAGCAATTAAACATTGTTAAACTCAAATTAAGTTATAATAACCAAAAAATTTCACCCTCCCCCCACCCCAACGTTCCCCCCCCCCCCAGAAAAGAAGAGAATGATTTTTTTGTCGTGGTCTAGAATTTATCCTGTAACTCAAGTTGTGGCACAAAAAAGGGAAAAAAAAAAAAAACTCAGATTAAGCAAAACCAGTAAAACCTTCTTAACGTCAGAAAAACCCCAGGAAAAAACAGAACAGCATGATATCTATCTATTGTACCTCAATTATGCCATCTAATAAACCCAGATTAAATAAAAAAATTATGAAAAAAAGGAAAAAAACAGAGTGTTCCAGATTTCTTTATTCAAAAAAATAAAAATAAGACAGGCTGATACAATCAAAGAAAATGAAATAGAACAAAAAAGAAAAAGAGACCCAAAAGATCAAGGATTCCCAAAAAAAAGAGGCAACCAAGAATCCTAATCCAGAACAAATACCCAGCCGAAAAACTTTGGAAAGAGAAAAAAAAAAGAGGTAACCAAGATTCCTAATCCACAAGAAGTACCCAGCCAAAAAAAATTGGAAAGAGAAAAAAAAAAAAGAACAGTTTTTTTTTGGATAAATCAGGGCACCTGATCCCAAGACCCAAATACATGAATCAGTGTGCAATAAGATACAACCCAGGATAAAAGAGATATAATTGAATTTCATAAAGCAAATCTTACTTGAGACCGTCTCACTTTTTACTGGATGATTCGAGGTGCATCCACCATGTCTGTATTCTGTATCGATGAGAGAGAAAGTGCCTGTCCTGATGAGAGAGAAACAGAGAAGCGTACTTTTTTGAGCTTGCTTTTGCGGGCTGCACTCGATGAGAGAGAGAGTGCATGTCTTGAAGAATAGTGGTGCTCGAGCTTGCTTTTGTAGGATGAGAGAGAAAGTGCATGTCCGAAGAGACGGGATGAGAGAGAGTACATGTGCAGAGAGAGAAAGGATGAGAGAGTGACTGAATACTTAAGAGAGCGCATGTATTGTAGAGAGAGAGGATGAGAGAAGTGACATGGGTTCTAGAGAGAGTTGGTCATGTGAGAGAAAGAGAGGATAAGAGAGAGATGATGTGGGTTGTAGGGAGAGCTGATTAGTTGGCGTTGAGAGAGATGATGTGGATTGTAGAGAGAGAGAGGATTAGTCATTCAGTAATGAGGAGAGTGCATGCATGAGAGGAGAGAGAGAGTGGGTTACTTAGAGAGAGAGAGAGGGGTCGTAGAGAGAGAGTGTGTGTGGAGATGTTGGGATCACGTGGTCAGGCGGCAGTGTCCAGCAAGATTTGGTTCACAGTATGTGTGTGGGGCCGGCCCCTCCTAAATCACTCTCCCCATCATCTTCGGTCCTCACCGTTCACACTATGCACAGTCAACCTGATCAGAAATTACCACTATGCCACTGGTCTTTAGGGGTCCGAATAGGTCGGGTTGCGGGTCGACCTCACTTCCGTTTTCGACCCGGACCTAACCATGACCTGCATCAAGTCCAGTTCTAGCACCTCACAAAAACTTTTAAAAAAATCATTGGAAAAATTATGTTATAAATATATAAATACACGGTTTCTATTAGTCTATGTGGAAATGAGTCCCCTCTTAAAAATTTATTTTTGAGATGGATTTTTGGACTTAAGTTTTAAAGACATGCAATATGGAACATAAATATCATAAATATGAAAAAATAAACAATTTTTAAAAATTATAAATTATAATTCTATTAAGAAAGCATTTGAACAGTTAGTTTTAAGGGGTATTTTGATCATTATATTTTATCAAAAAATTATTTTTAATATTTTTTATAAGTCTGCCCCAATGAGAAGATGATACATACCAAATTTCATATTCATACAATTTGTATAAAAAAACTAAAAATAAAATACTTTGAGACGTCGGATCTAAGATCAAACGGTGAGTTGATCAAAATTGGACGGCTGCATGTTACGGGAAGCAAATATCTTCTATGTTGTAGGGAAAGTATAGAAACCTTTCCCTTTGGAATATGTTGTATAGATGAAACAATTTTCCTATATATATATATATATATATATATAG